CTAGCTGGGGAATGCTGGCTGTCAGGGGATGCATGTGCATAAGTAGTTGACATAGTCATTAATGTATATTTCTAGTTTATGATTGTTCATTGTTTCTGTTGTGTAGAGGATCACTTTATTTGTTATGTCAAGACAATACTCAAACATTTGGCTTCATTATACACAAGATTTAAAAAAAACTGCTGTATTACATTTCAGTCTATTAATGGGCATGCTACCCACCTCTTCCCTTTAGATGAAAGATGTATTAAGTACAAATGTAGTAGTTTTAAAAGGATGTAAAACAGAAGACTCATGGAGCAGTCTTGGTATTTAGTTTCCTGTCCAGCCTGATCAGTGTATCTGGGGCTGATTAGTAAGTGTCTTCTCTAGAAATGGAGCAGTGCTACAGTTTTTCAGCTGCTTCATTAATGATGTTCTCAATAACTGATGGTTGTGGGGATGGGAGTTCAGGACATGGAAGATGTTCCTTTAACATCTCTGCTCAAGATGGACGTTTTGTACTGAAGATTTTATACTGTAGCCATTGTACTTCCCTTGGAAAAGACTAATGCATGGAGTCTGAGCTATCTTTGAAAGCAGCAGAATATGGCTTTCCAGTATCACTAATATTGAAGCATTTGCAATTGGTAGAAATGATTGTGGAACTATCAAGATGGTATCCACCACTCTCTGCTTCTTTTGTAGTAATGATCTTGGCATTTGTGCAGTCAATACCACTGTCTCATCGTTTGGGTGAAAAGGTGATGATACAACTGTGGAATGTCTGCATTTGAAATATTGTTCTTCAGGCTTTATACTAGGGGTGGCCAACCTGAGACACACAAGTGACATGGGCAGTCTTTCTGTATAAAATGAAGATGATCAAGCAAGGAGCAGAAAGCAGTGTGGCAGATTTGGCAAGCATGCCACAAATTAAGCCCTGCACCCTGCCCAAAATGTTGACCCCTGCTACTTTTGTACCCTTTGCTATGTAAGACAGTTCTAGCAAGATGTTCATGGGAAAATAATATGCGTTGTTCTCTTTAAGACATTACCATGATTAATATTAAACTGTGGGCTGTCCATCAACTATCTCCTTGTGAGCAGAAAATGGCACAACTTCTGTGCCAGCGCTGATCACAGTCATTCTGTGACAGGTGATTTGTTCTAGCACTGCCAATTAGTGCTTCTATACACATTTTTCCCTGCAAGCTAATGGAAGAGTTGACACTAGAATTTTGGGGTTTTCATCTTGCAGCTTGTTTCTCTAGGCCTATGTTTTAAGGAGCACAGGACTTATTACCAGTTCCATAGAGTCATAAATGCCATGCTCAGTGACAGCTTGGCAGGTTTGGGGTTATTGGACATGCTGCTAAAGTTGCAGACTACTTTGGTGTTTGTTTACATTAACTCCCAGCTTGAATTATCTGGCAAAATTACAAACCTTAGACTGTCACTTTTTTTCTAACGTTGCAGTTTGGTTCCTCTTGTAGAAAATGTTCTCGGTGCTTGGCTAAAGATTTGCCCTTATGGGAAGCCTTACAATAACATACACTTGTCAGCAGAAGGAGTCTTTCCCCTGTGAGATCTCTGCAAGCTCTCCCAGATGACAGTAGCTCTGTTGGCAGAAATAACTTTCTTGCAGCAGAGCTGTGTCCAATGCCACAGGCTTTGTTAGAGAGCTGTCAGCCATAGGGAGTGATCCTGCACCCCTGCCTGGCATAGCGTTGTTGAGAGAACTTTATAATGCAAAGAATGGCCTTGTCTACACTGCATGTCTTTAATTCCCATTAGTTCTAATGCAGGTACAGATGAACTATCAGGAAATTTGATGTAAAGGCATCCAGTATTTTAAATTAATTAAATTTACGTAGAGGTCAAGAAGAACAGGCCTTATGAGGAGAGGCTGAGGCTTGGGACTCTTCAGCCTGGAGAAGCAAAGGCTCAGAGATGACTTGGGGTAGCCTATAAATATATAAGAGGTATGCACCAGGAACTGGGAGAAGGTCTGTTCATCAGGGCACCCCAAGGGAAGATAAGGTCTAATGGTCTCAAACTGCTGGAAGACCATTTTAGACTGGACACAAGGAAAAACTTCTTTACCATCTGAGTCTCTAGAGTCTGTAGTAGACTTATCCTTCCCCTCCACCTCCCCTTTGCTGGCCAAAGTGGTGCAAGCACCTATTCTGGATACCTTTAAGAAATACTTGGATGCTTATCTTCCTGGGGTCATCTGACCCCAGCTGACTTACTGCACCTTGGGCAGGGGGATGGACCCAATGATCTCATGAGAGCCCTTGCAGCCCTAGTGTCTGTGAATCTAAACCTGCTTTTTAGCAGTTAAATCTGATATAGTCTGAATTGACTGAAGTTGTAGGAGTCTTGCCTGCATAAAAAGCACGTGTCTGTTTTAGCCTTTCCTAACATTTAGGGGAGGTAAGGCTAAGGCACAGCATCCCATCTATCAGGTTGCCTATGATGGCAAGAAACTCCAAACTAGTTGTTAAAAGTCAGAAACTAAATTTTATAATCCAAAAGTAAATTTTTGGCTTGCTGTCTTGTTGACTTAGTTGAATACTGCTGCTTTGATTGTAGCTAAGCAAAATTATGCTTGTAAGTCCTTACTCTTGGGAGCTTATGGCCTAAATAGCTGGAATACAACTCTAATATAGTGCAAACGATAGCCATATTTTAAAATGGGTGGAGATTTTATTTAATATTGGTACACATGATGCACTTGATATTATTTGGAAAATGTTTAGGTATGATACTAATGGAACCACATATAAATTCTGCTTGTTTTGGAGTGAATTTTAATGGGGTTTTTTAAATTGTCTTTTGGTTTGTGGTAGTGTTTGGTTTTTAAAATGTCCTGGAAAAGGCTGAGCAAGTAAGTTTTTTGCCTGTTTGATAAATCAGGACTTTTTGGCAATATTGACTTACAATGGCTCAATAGCTGTATAGATACCGTTTTATCTTTTCTGGTAGAAATATTCTTGTGACACAAGACTAACTCTTTTGTAAGAGTTGTGAGGTAAATCAAAGGGTAAATGTGAATTTCAGTGGAACTTCCAAGCCTGTATTGCTGTTTTCCTGTACTTTTTGTTTCTTGCTGGTTGACTGAAAATTGATCTGGGACTGTCCTGTTAAATGAACAATGTTGCATTTGAGGTGCCTAGAATATACTAAACTTGTGTTTTTCAAATTTCCTTAGTGTCTGTTGTTGTTACTGTTTTGCCTCCAATGTTTCTGTTTTGGGTCTTTTCTTTTTTCTTTTTACTTTAGTTTCTGTTAAGGTCTTAATTGGGAGTACTTGGTGTCATTTGCCTTTGTCTACGTTGCAATATTCTACCATCTGAGCTCTGTTGTTTAAAGGCGTGGGGGGAAAAAGTTAATCCCATTGCCAAATAACTGTCAGCAAACTGCACAGTGAGGAGACAGCTCTGCTGGCAGAAAGGAGCTGGTAGAGCTCTAACAGTAGAAAAACTGTAACATAGTTTAAAAGTAACACAAGTTCCTATAATGTAGATATAGCCTTAATCTGCCAGTGACAGATTAATCCCAACATTTCTAATTGCTTAAATTTACCATTTCTCTTGAAAGAAGGGAATAATTTTTAGGTTTTTTTTTCTTCCCAGGCAAAGTTGGCAAAGAATTATGGTATGACCCGTATGGATCCATACTGTCGGATACGGCTTGGCTATGCTGTGTATGAAACTCCTACAGCTCATAATGGAGCCAAGAATCCACGCTGGAACAAAGTTATTCAGTGCACAGTTCCCCCTGGTGTGGACTCTTTCTATCTTGAAATATTTGATGAGGTAAGCATAAATGTCTTCTGTTTTTTCTGGGCTGATTGTGGGCCTTTGCAAGGTTGGATCCAGGTTAACACAAGAATCTATGTGGCTGTTTGCTGTCCCATGGCTCCAGCTCCTATTTAGAATGGGAGGAGTACTGGCATAAATCACTCTGTTTTTTTTTGAAGAAGCAGTATTTGGCCCCTTCTTGGGAGCAGTGGGGCTAGATTACTACAAGTTGTCTGCTGAAGAGCGAGAGGAACTGCAGAGGCTCCCTAGTACTTATTTCAGCTGTTGCAGTACTTCACTTAGCCTGGGCTTCTGCACTGTTCTGCTGCATGCAGTCCTTTGATGTCCTGGTCTTAGTCGGGGTACTTTAGGCCTTCATACGTGAGTTGTCACTTATCCCTATGAAATGTTAAGTGCAATTTTTATCTTTCTCTAAAGATGAATGGGGAGACTCAGGCTTCTGTGTTTTTATTTCAAGCAGCGTGGGCACATGCCACTGAATCATTTATGCCTGGATTATACTTTCAAGCTTTTCTGTGGAATCTTTACAGTTGGACTTTTGTCATCTTTATTTTTTAATAACGTTGAAAATTTGATATAATTGTATGATTTCTGGGAGTATGTGATTACTTCTGAAATACGGTTGCTTGTGAATATTCTGGTATGCCAAACAATGGCTCAATATATTAAGAGCAGCATTATACTCTGCCTTTTATCTGTACTAAAAATAGACTGCTCTTGTAGTTCTTCAGGACCTAACATGTTGGAAGACTTGTCAAACTAATCTCATTATCACTTCCATTCAAATCCATGAGAGCAGTGACAGTAAATCAGTCAAGTTTTTAGTCTCATTTTTTTTTTAGTCACTAAATCTCCCTAGTGGAGTTATTAAACAAATTATGAATTAAGCAAACTTCATTCCAAATTACTATGAATCAGAATCTCAGGTTTGTCTCATGCAGTGTCTCTTAGCAGTTACAGTTTCCTTCGGTTTGGGCTGCCTCCCACCTCATTCTTTGAGCATCTCTCCTCCTAGCCCCCCTTTGTGCTGCCTGCAGCATCTAGAATTTTCAGTAACATTTCCCATTGGGAGGGAGAATAGCATTAGAAAACTCTGTGAATTTTTCATAGTTTCTGGGTATTGCAGCTACGAACAGAGTAATGCTGCTGTCCACAGATAACTATAATTAATCAAATATTTAGTTCTCTCCCTGGAATTCAAATCTTGGATCCACTTCTGTAAGGGCTTCTGGACACATTCAGGGAAAAGCGTGAGGGGGAGCTGATGTGCAATTCACACAGTCATGCCTCCTGCCATGCCACACGTGCAGAGCAGGAGGCGTAATTATGGAATGCTTCTTTTTGGATCTCCTTTAGTTTTGTGTGCATGCACATGCATATGTAACGCACACAAAGAAGAATCCTCGTAAACTAATTAAGTTTATCTCGTACAAGCCAGAAATAGGAATAATCCATTTTCTTCATCTTCCATCACTTCAGGCATCTATACCCTGGTGTTGGGAATAATAACATTTAGCTGTTTGAGAGAGGATAATTTCAGACAAGGGAAGACACGTCCTTCTTTTTTAGGACGTGTGTGCCATTAAAGACTGGGGTTTATGTTTGGGTTTTTTTGTTTGTTTGTTTCTTTTAAGTTTTTTCCTGGATTCTTTATGGGATGTTAAGGAGTGTCTTGTGGGGGTAAGCCAGGGGTGGGCAGTTATTTTGGGCGGAGGGCCACTTACCCATTTTTGGCAAGCTGTTGAGGGCCACATGGGTAGCCCCGCCCCTTGATAGGTGCCCCACCCCCTGGTCACCATCTTGGGACCTATGTATCAATGTCCTGGGACTAATGTCTCAGGGCCAGCACTGCTGGGGCCCAGAGTGGGGCTCAGGTTGGCAGGGGTCTGTGGAACTGGGCTGGGCTGTACCAGCAGGGAGGTGGGGGAGCTGGCCTGGCTCCACAGATCCTGTGCCAGCTGGGACCCTGTACTCCTGCTGCCCTCCTCTGGGCCCTGCCAGCACTGGCCCTGGGACACTGGTGTGGGCCCTGTGCACCTGCTTATTCTCAGTGCCCCCCAGCCCCGCAGTGCAAGCGGGGGGCAGTGCATAGCTCCAACCTCCTGTTCCCTGACAAGGAACGAGCTGGTGCTGAGCACGGGAAAAAGAGGCTCCTTGCCCGTCCCCTGGCCGGCACTCCCTGCTGTAGCTGCTTGCAATATGTGTGGGGCTGTCCTGAGCCAGGCATAGACAGCCCAATGCATGCTGGAAGCAGCTGCAGTGTGGGGCACAGACACGGGGCAGGGCTGCTTTTCCCATGCTCAGCACCATCTTGTCACCTGCCCCCACTGTCAGCCTGGGCCCTGCGCTGGCTCTGGGCTCTCCTGTCGGGGCTGCTTTGTGGCAGCAGCAGTGTTTGTCACTGCTGCCTTTGAGCTGAGCAGTACGTGAGCTCAGGGCGGGCAGCAGCAAACACTACTTGGCACAGCAAACGGTGGGGTTGCAGCTGCTGCTGCCACAGAGCAGCCCCGATGGGTGAGCCCAGAGCTGGCACAGGGCCCAGGCTGGCAGTGGGGGCGGGTTACAAGCTGGTGCTGAGCACAGGGGGCAGTAGTGGCCCCTTGCCCACCCCATGGCCAGTACCCCACACTGCAGCCGCTTGCAGCCTTTGTGGGGCTGCCTGTGCCTGCTCAGGACAGCCCTGCACGGGCTGCAAGAGGCTGCAGCAGGGAGTACTGGCCACGGGGTGGGCGAAGGGCCGCTTTTCCCCAGGATCCCCCCCCCCCCGAGTTTTCGGAGCAATGAGGCCACATGGTCCCTGCTGGGGCTTCCCACAGGGTGGGCAGGCCCTGCTTTTTGAAGAGCCTGGCTGGGCTTCCCCTGGGTCCTACTACCCCGGTTCCTTTAATTTTTGACAAGAACCAAAGACAGATAAATATTAATTTTCTAAATTTTTTAGGGGCTCTGTGGGCCGGATAGAATGGCCTTGTGGGTCGGATTCGGCCTGCAGGCCATATTTTGCCCACCCCTGGGGTAAGCATATGTTCTTATGGACCCTTTTTGAACTAAACGTTTGTTACATGGCGGCTTATGGTCTTGAGGGGGGATTGACTTGGAGATTTTTCTTCTAGTGTTGTATGAGTGGAAAGGATGTAGAAGTTGTCAGAGAGCTCTAGGAGTAATAAAGACAAATTCTACTCTAATCTAATTACTTTACGTAATGGTTAAAGAGGCTGTTTGCAGAATAGCTTAGCTGTTGAAACTGTGTTGCAAAGAATAGCTTAAAGCTGAAATGAAGAAAATGTGATATCGTGAAACCTGAGCTCAAAAAATTGTTAGTTGAGTCATGTTGAGGTTTTTATTTCTGAAGGCAGTAAACTTGATCAGATAAATATTTTATTTCTAATGCCCTTCAGAGAGCCTTTTCAATGGATGACCGCATCGCTTGGACACACATCACTATTCCTGAATCTCTGAAACAAGGGAAGGTAGAGGATGAGTGGTATAGCCTGAGTGGAAGGCAGGGTGATGACAAAGAAGGAATGATTAACCTGGTTATGTCATATACGGTAAGTCAAATGAATTTCTGCCCTCAAGATCTAATAGGAAAAATTCCTTGCATAAGGGTAGGGGAAGATGCATGGTGAAGCTCTTATAGGAGAGTTTCATCTCATCTCTTCTTTTTTGTCTTCTGTCCCTGAAATAAGTTCTTATGGTAGGTATAACAGATGGATATTTTAGCTATTCTAAGTGCAGTCAGCAAATCCTTTTCAATAAGATGGATGGATGTTGCTCTTGCTTTTTCTGTACAGTGTGTAACCAAAAACATGTACGTGCAGGAATGAGCTGAGTGGGGAAAAATAAGTATCTAGATGCAAGTGACCTTTTTTCTGTTTTTGAAGTCATCTGTGTTGTTTTGCCTGCCCACACTCCCTCTCCTTCTCTCCTCCACCCAGCTGCCTGAAATTGCTTATTTGATGTGGGGTGGGAGGGATGATGGGAAACTTTCCACCTCCATAAACTTTATAAATATAACCTGAATATTGTTAGTTCTCATCGTTGGAATAGAAAATAATAAATTGCTCTCTTTTGAGCTTGCCTGCATTCTGAGTCGAAGGCAGACAACTGAAGGTCACATTTCACTACTTCTTCCCTTGTGTGGAAAACTACAGATTTTACAGGCAGAAGGATGAAGACAGATATTCCGTATCAGATTAATGTTCAGTTGGATATTGTGATGGAGTGAAACTATGCTTACAGGGCCAGAAATAGGCTTGCCAAAAATCTTTTGAAAGGGGAAGTTGAAATGTTTGAGCTAGCGATAAAGAAGCATGTTCATTACTCTGGGAACCTCCTGTTACCTATACTTATGCTGAGTGGTAGAACTCTTAAGTATTACTCCTTGGAAATAAGTCAGCATCATTGGCTGAATTTAACCAAGAAACCAGTTTGATTAGAGGGCTGGCTCTGAGCTAACACTGTTAACCAAATTATGAAGCTAATTTTTAAATTAAAAATAGCTTGCATAATTTCATATAGGTGGTATTGGATTACTTCAAGGAATGGTTTCAGGAAGTTACTAATGGAAAACGTAAAACTTCTGAACAAGACTGAAGTATTCAAGGACACTTAACATTTAAATACCTGGAACCCTGTTGTTTCATAGTTTCATACCTTCTAGGGTCGGAAGGGACCTGAGCAGATCATCTAGTCCGATCTCCTGCCATGGCAGGAAAGAGTACTGGGGTCAAACAACCCCAGTAAGGTGGTCATCC